GTTTCTGAAAAGATCTATGTGTGTTATCCTATAGTATATCGTCATCGCATGTGTATTTGCTCTTGATTGTTTACTGTTAAATATTTGTTTCTACTTGGGTGTTTTTTGACCTTAGCCCCAATGAGTACATGGAGCAAGTATGGTATGTGTTTCAAGTTAGAAACACGAGGTAAGGTCTGTGATCCAATTTTATTGGCTACCTTGATTATGCAAGTGTTAACTGTGTGTTTTAATTGCTTGCAGATTTATTGGGCATCAAGGTAGAGATTTGTTGGATTTTTGATACCCAATAAATCCCGGGCTATGATGCTAACGTGGGTTAATATTATTTCATAGGCATAGACCGATGAATGAAATAAGTCCAACAACCAAGTCCATGAGCTACACCCGACCCAATTGTATTCCTTATGGATGGCTTGAATCTTGGCCCGTTTACCCCTTTATTGGCCCAACTTAAAGCCTAACCCTAGAGTATATATTTGGCTATAACCCTATCCACTTTCATACGATGATTGTGTGATTTTGAGAGAAGAAACAAGAGAATCCCAGCTGCCCCCTTTTGTGTGAGAAAAAAGGTGTCCAGAAGTGTCCAGAACGCTGGTATAACGTGTGCAATTGGTGGTTCTTTCATAGTATACCTTTGTGGTGTCTTCTCTTAGCTTTTGTGGCGATAAATCATCATCGTTTCTTGTCCTACGTAGGTAAGATTGCATAGCAACCAAGGTGAATCAATTTGGTTGTGGTTTGGAGCCGTTTTGGATTGGTTGTTGGTAGAGAAAGATACGTTGGATTGAGCCTGAAAAACCACCGTTTGAAGATCCTTTTGAGAGAGCTTCCGCATTACTCTTTCGTCTGGATTCCCCAAAAATTTTACAGAGCGCAAAACAGGACAGAAACATTTGATTTCACTCATCCAATTGCCTAGTGCCGATTTTGGAGCAACAACGTGAGGGCCAGTTGTTCCTCTAAATTCATGCAAATACCCTAGCAAGGAAATTGTTTGCAAAGTTTTACCAAGCCCCAGAATTGAAGTGACAAAAACAAATATCATTATGTGCATTGCTGCATTACTCAATGGCAAATGCTAGTCTCTGCTCATACCATTTCATCAGCAAGTATTCCATTGATGCCATTCTTGTACAGTCTTATGAGCCAATTCAAACCAGCAAGTTGGTAATCCCTCATCTTACCCTGAATACCTGCAAGACAAATACATATTTTATAGTTCCAGCCAAAAAAAATTAAATAAAGACTGTCATTGAATATGGGGAATGAATAAAGATTAAGCCAACAATATTTTGACTTGAAAAAAGTAGTAAAATGTATCTACTTCTCTCGTCAAACTCTTTCATAGCAACTATTTTTTATATGAAATTGGACTTTCTAGTTTTTCTAGTCAAACAAGTGGGCCAACTCCGATTTCAAGCAATTCGGTCTCTTAGCTATATCCTTTTCAAAAAGGCGTTCGGCTAAGTTTACATGGGTTACATAACAGCAAAACCATATATAGAGAGGAATGAAGAACTCCTACAAAACAGACCCATGAGGTCGGTCCCATGCAGGACCCATGGATGATAAAAAAATTGCAAAAAAATGCCAACCTCCCCCCTTTGAGTGTAGTCTGTAAAGCCTCTGTAAGTGTCCATTCTGTACGTGTAGTGCGGTTCGTTACATAAACGGGAACAAGTAAATTTTGAAATAAAATAGATTTTAAGTCAGAACATTTGAATTTGCTACATCTCTATTCGAACTACAATACATCAAATATCATTCAGCGATGGAAAAATTTCAAAATAAAGTATCTATATAGTAAACGATGTATTAGTCTCAACAAACTCATTAATTCATATACTCCCAAGGTAGATGAAAGCATTAAAAAATGAGTGTGAAGTCTGTAAAATCACATTAAAACTCAATACTTGATAATTAAATTCAAACCATAGAAAATTATGTTTTAACGTTTGTCATAACTAATAAATTTAGTTTTTTCACTTAAAGTGTGCTTGATTGGAATGAAAATTATCACTAGAAAAGAAAATATTTTCTATGTTTTGTGGAAAACAAAAACCTACTCCCTCAAAAAAAATATACAAGAAAAATTAGGCATATTTTCAAAAGTTATAACATATTTTTAATAAAAAAAATAGCGATCAAATACTTCGAAGTAAGAATTTGGGTGGAAAATAAATGCAATCAAACGGCCTTAATTAAATCTAAAATATGTGGTTTCATTTCCTACAACCACTTCTGCTCTTGACATGTTCCATGGAGAAAAATGAATTGTAAATAATTTCAGTTACGTTGTCTGTTAGATTAATCTCAATACAAGCTTCCCGTACTAAGTTCTCTTAAAATTGGTTCGAATCTTCTTGCGCATTTATGTAAATCAAATCGTGTCACGTCAACGTGATTCAATTTCACGAAACACCAGAAGTTCATGGAACCTGTAACTATTCGCAACTAGCAAGGGGTGACTTGTTTTCACCAAATGACACCTTTTATGGTCGACAAATGATTCACAAGATTATTCGCACATAAATAATTTTATGAAGTAACAAATTAACAACCTCGCGTCATAAATTCGTAAATGCTAAATCAACACATTAACATACAACGTAGTAACATAAAATTCGTTATGTCGAAGACGATCGTGTACTACACTAATTTTTCTTGCGGCGATGCAGAGCGGCAAGTGCAACGAGCAGGAAGAACAACACAGCACCAAGAATAGACAGGCTAATGCCAATGGCCGCTTGGTTGCAGAATTTTCCGAACACACCACACACCTTCTTCCACTGGACGTGTGAATTGCCTTCGTAGCCGAGCAGACCCACGGCCAAGGCGGCGCCACCACTTGAGTAGAGCAGCGCTACCATAACTAGGTCGAATATGATTATCGCCACTGATAAACCTTCCTTTCCGGCCAATGTTAAGACCAATGATATAGCTGCATAGGAACACGCTATTGCATTTGCCACCACAAAGTACCTGAAAAATCATTAAATAAAAGAAAATTTTCGAGTTCAAATTATGTCGCTGCTGTGTTTATGAAAATTATACGAGTTTCACATTCTTGATAAAAGGATAAATATCTTGTAAGATAACAACTTAAATTCTTAGACGAGATGCAAGTTTGAAAGCAGTCATGTATTATAAAGGCAGAGGCGGCAAAGGGAGTGTAAGAAATACTTACACGAAGGCAGACATGTGATGCCATTTGGCGGTGACCGGAATATTCACCGGCGGCAGTGTCGGTACCAACGTGAACGGAACAATCTTTGTCTGCTTATCAACTCCGACGAGTACAGCCGCCACAAGTGTCAGACCCAAAGCCAAAAACCTCAAAAGAAAATCCCAACCCCTCATTCTTCTTCTATTCGCCACCATCACTTCCTTCCCTCCGTGGCCACCAACCTTGCCTGCATCTTGAACTTCCATTTTCCCTAGAGAAAAGTTCCAAAGGACGAGAGACGAGAAATTATGAAATATGGGACCTCTTACTCTCTCTTGTCTCTCTCTATAAGTGTACGTAACTATGTATATGTCTATTATATATACACACATTTTAGTTTGTTTGAGGGTAGTGGGGTAGGTGGGGTAATTAATGGATGAAGCTGGATATGGTTGGCAAAAGGCGTGGGAGTTTGGTGGATTATAATTGCATGTGGCCTTCACGTAATATTTTTAAGTTATGGAGATATTTTCGACACTTTGATTGCGATCGATTTGATTAGTTATTTCAGGATTAAATATTGATGAGATTCATATTCCATTTTATGATGGTGTTATTTCGTATTCGTATATGATTTGATACAATTTGAGGAAAATCGACTTCATCATAATTGGGTTAATTATCTATTTACATTTTGAGTCGTATATAGCATTAATGATTGTGCTATTTTGTATTCTCGTATGATTAATTTGATACGAATATATGGGAGACACTATATCAAATTGAACTCTATGATACCGAAACATTGTCTTCTTTATTGGTTAAGTTTTACATATATGGGAGACACTATATCACATTATTTAAGATTAATGCTTTGAAATTGATTGTTGGTGGGATTTTCTTTATTACTACAAAATATATTGATTATCTATATTTTGTTTATTATCCAACGTAAGAATATTCTGAAGTACAAAATATATTGAATCATATAATATCATGAAATATCTGGTAAAATCAATAGTAAAAAAACAAATTATTCATAGTGTCTCGTCTACTATTGACTAAATGCCAAACTTGTCATAAATGATTCGTTGAAAATTCCAACGAAGGAATCTGAATGAATTCACCAGAAATTAACATAAAAGAGTCACCAGTTTGAATGAAGATAATGTAAGAGCAGAGCCACAATTTTGTGGGAACTTCTGAACCCTTTACTTTGTTCACATGGTTGTTTCCAAAATTCACCTCATGTCCCCTCCTGGTGTGACAATAATATTTTGTCACGTCCAGTCATGTCAATTTCAATTCGTACCATTTTATAAAAGTTTGAGCTAGGTATAATATTGTAGTAAGTAGATAGGATTAGGGCTCATATAAGTGCAACGTTACGTGTCACGTTTACGTGATGTCGTGTTAAAAAAAACGTAAAACTTATTAAAGATACAAATAGAACTATAACAGTGTTTGTTAGTAAATTAACTAAAAAGAAAAGTAAAGATAGATTTTTAAAGATTACATTCATTATATTTTATTTTATTTATAAGTAAAGATTTACTTTTCTAAAAGTAATTTCAATGGTTATACTGAAATCAGTAAATTATTCTTAGAATTATTCTATATGTACAAAATCATGTACAAAATCAATGACAAACTTGACAAGTGGTGGCCCCCTGTTGGTGGAGTGGTGGTGGGGCCAACCGCCCCACTAACAAGGAGCCGCCACTTGTCAAGTTTGTCAAACTTTTAGTAATTGATTTTGTACTTGTAGACTAATCCTTATTTTTAATTTTGATTAATAACATTACTTATTTGAAAATTTACATTTTCAACTCTCTCTCTCTCTTTTAAAGTAACTCTCACGTGAAAAGAAGAAATCTGCTTATTTTAACTTTTGATTAATAAAGAAAAGTAAATTTACTATGTGAATTCTTTTTTCTTTTTTTTTTATTTTAAACCAACGTAGTTCGTTTGAGCCCCATTTTGGGGGAATGCATTTTTGAATAGTGCATTGATGAGAAATATTTGGTTAAAAAATAAGGAAAAGTTTTGAATTTGCGTGTAATATTATTTCATTGAAGAATGTATTGTTGAAATGATGTCAAAATACTGTCTAAAAATACATTTTTTTCCCCAAAAAAAGGGGGTCAAACAAAGGCTTATTTATTCGTAACGAAAAATATGGTCTAAACTCATCTTATTGTGTGGCCGTGAATTAATTTAGTACGGTGTGACTAAGGAATGATATTAGTATTGTCGCGACGCTACCCAAATTTAAACATATAGAGCTTGTTTTGAAGTGATTTTTTCCCTGAAAATTTTGATTTTTTAACCGTTATTTCACTATTTCAAGTCGTCATATTTCACTTCTTCTTTCACAGGTGGATCCTACTTTTCTTCAAACGATCAAAAAATCAATTCTTAAAATCACTCCCAACTCATAATATATAGCTCTGAATATGCTCCGAGTTCTTGTTTGCCAGGAGGGACATCATGAATGGCACGTTTTATGTGCAAAACAGGATAGTGTTCGAATTTTTTATGTTATCTTATATAATACTGTCCATTTTCATGGATGGAACCACATAATCATATGCTTGCTATCTAAGGTGGTCAAAACAAACAAATCCCAGAAAGGGCGGAACTGAGTGATCGTGTATTAGCTGGGGTTATACTGGCAAAAATAAACTGAGATTATGGGCCTTTCAATATTCACAGTTAATTTAATGGAAATTGGTGGCTAGGGTTCATAAATATTTGGGCTTCCTTGAGTAACTTTAAACTAGATTTTGGGACAATTTCTTAACAAGATGTTATAAAATAATTAGAAGGTGACAATATTTTTTTTAAATTTCGACAAAACTTAGTCTGATCTTATGTTGGGGAATCTTTATCTTTACGAAATGAGAGAAAGACCCTTTTTTCGGAATGGACAAGCTTGACATGAATTATTGAAGAATTTTGAGGTTAAAATAAGACCTAAGATCGGCGGAGAAGAAGGAAGTTTCGAGCTCATATTGGTCATGGGTTGAGAATGGGAATTGAACTCTATGACATCTAATCTCTGGGTATCTTTAACGTAATCATGAATTGATTAAAAAAAATTGTTACATAAGTGAAAGTAAATGATGTTAAAAACTTCTCCAATATAAGATGAAAAAGGACTCCATCAAGCTAACAACAGACAAAAAGTAGACAATGTATATACGGAAGTATAGATCATAGATGTAGAGCCTCATAACTTAGCAATTTAATTTTATTATGTCTCTTTATTTAGAATATTGGAGTTTTTTTTTTCTTTTACTCTATTTTATTGTTAATAAAAGACACAAAGGTGAAAATATTGGAATATCGATGAGATGCATTCGAGATTATTTCTAAACATGACCATCTATTTATTGACATTTATGCCACGTCAATTCAAAACCAATTTATTTAAATGTCACAAAGATTACAATCCACAGAATACATTGAAGATGATCATGATCCATAAATTAAATTTTCAACTTCCTTTTCACATAATGGTAAAATGTCATTTAAGAGCATCTCTTACTCAACTTCAAAGGTTTACCTATAAGCAGATAAGTTCATTTAAATTCAAATAATAATAATAATAAATAAATAACAAGCTCGTAGTTATATACAGATTAATTTTTTATTAAATAAAAACAATCATTAATATGACTTTTACTTATTTTAAACTTTGTCAAATGTGAAATAAATACGGAAATATCCGCTTTGTTGATTCTTTCTTTTTCTCTCCTTTCTTGCTTCACGTCTTCATCTTGGTGGATACACCCATGCCTAAATGAAGTAAAAAAGTCAAGATATTCAATTAGCTAATAAATAATTGATAGTTAATTCGCATAATAATACTATTTTGATAACATTATGCTAAATTGTTTTCGAATTTATCTTTTATTGATCAAATCATCAAATTATTACTCATATTAGAGCGACATTTTACATAGTATGAAAAGGTTAAGCCATACATAACTTTCCATTTTTTTTTTTAACCCTTAATTAATTTCCCACTTGTATACCCGAAGATAGAGGAGAGAATTAGGATATGAGATAGATGTAAAAGAAAGGGACAAGAAACTAATTTGAGGAATCTAAACTTGTCAACTAGACTTTAACCAATCCCAAGCATAATTTAATTTTTAGGAACTCTTCAACATAACTATAATCATCACAAAAACCATCAATATCTTATCGTTTTCGATAACCTCTTCGTTGATCTTTTAAACGTGTCTCGTCTATATCGAAAAAAAAAAATTATAGAGTATATTACATGTGATTCAGCGTACGTTTTTTCTATTCATTGTTATTCAATCCTTTTTATTGAATATAACAACTAAGATAATACTCTTTGACTTTTTATATAATTGAGACGATGAACATCTGTCACCAAACCTTATGATAAAGAAATTGTTACATATAGTAAATAAGATAATATATTTATATACAAAACAACATTTATAAATGAGAATTCATGAAAATAATATGTACTAAGACATATGTATCAAAACACGTTACAAATAGCGAAGTGACATAAAAACAGTTGTGGAATTATCAGTCTGCAGGTTAAATTCATCAATGAGCACCTAACTTTAAATTTAGTGTCACCATAGCCATCCAATTTGATTTTATTTCACTATGATCACTCAACTTTATACTTAGTGTCACCATGACCATCCAATTTCATATAATATTTCTTCATGGCCACCTAAAACCAAAAAAAATTCTCTATTAGACATTGTAACTTAGCAATTTAATTAATTATGTCTCTTTATTTAGAATATTGGAGTTTTTTTTCTTTTACTCTATTTTATTGTTAATAAAAGACACAAAGGTGAAAATATTGGAATATCGATGAGACGCATTCAAGATCATTTCTAATCCTGACCATCTATTTATTGACATCTATGCCACGCTGATTGAAAACCAATTTATTTAAATGTCACAAAGATTGCAATCCATAGAATACATTGAAGATGATCATGACCCATAAATTAAATTTCAACTTCCTTTTCACATAATGGTGAAATATCGTTTAAGAGCATTTCTTACTCAACTTAAAAGGTTTACCCATAAGCAAATAAGTGAATTTAAATTCAAAAAAAAAAAATTTAATAAATAACAAGCTCATAGTTATATACAGATTAAGTTTTTATTAAATAAAAAAGATCATTAATATAACTTTTACTTATTTTAATATTTGTCAAATGTGAAATAAATACGGAAATAGCGGCTTTGTTGATTCTTTCTTTTTCTCGCTTCTTTCTTGCTTCACGTCTTCATCTTGATGGATACACCCATGCCTAAATGAAGTAAAAAAGTCAAGATATTCAATTAGCTAATAAATAAT